AGGAAGTACCCATTTTTTGGATACCCATGCGTACACAGTATGCATTTTAAAACCCTAACGCGATCTCTGACTACAGTGCAATTGTTTTGAATAATTTGCTTAAGGTACAATGATTAACTAGGTATAAAACCAAGAACTGGATTCAAGACTGGTAGTAGCATGTGATTTCTTCACTATATACTGAGTCAGGTATTTATCAATAGTGCACTACATTCCAAGCCTCTAGATACCATGCATGTGAAAAACCATTATTTATAACACATCAAGTCGGATGGTACTGCAGTTTATCTCCCTAGTGCTGCAGTTGAACATTGACTGTGAAAAGAAAAGGCAAACACAGTCATGTTTGTGCTGGACCATCATGGTTGATGTACTGAAATTTTATGGCACCACAGAGAATAAAAATACATCCAGATTTTTAACTTTAGGAAGGAAAAATACCTGAAAATGAAGGGTGGATACTGGCTGCACTGACGATTCCTGAAAAGATAATATCATCTTTCTCCTACAAGCCATGTAGCTTCATAAACTACAAAGCTGGTATTCAACTTAAAGCGGCACTAACTTTAAGGGAAGATGCTTAGGGAATTTTTTTTATTTATAATAATCCTTGCATTTTATATCGCGCCAAAAAATGTCAAAGCATCTGAATTCACTTTATAGCGTCTTATCACATTGTCGAGACGTCTCAAACTGCTTTACAGAATATACTGTAAAGTGAATTGACTATATTTTGTGGGAGAAACTCAGCAACCATTTGACACAGCAGGTCCCACAAACAGTCATAGATTGAGTGACCCTATTATTACTTTTTTTTAAGAGAATATTACACCTGGAAAGCGATATGCCAATTGACCAGCAAATGGGTTAGGAACATAGGAACAGGAGTAGGCCATTCAGCCTTTCGAGCCTGTTCCGCCATTTAATTAGATCATGAATGATCTGTACTTCAAATAATCCTTTCAATTCCAATTTCCCGCTTTCTCCCCGTATCCCATAATACCCTGAAATACGAAAAATTTTCAATCAAGGGTTCCTACTTACTGCTAGGTAAACCGAGGCCTGTGCAGTAAGGAAATTTCCTTACTCCTCGGGGAGAGGGAGGGGGGAGAGGAGGGAGTCCCCCAAAATAAAACTCCCTTCTCTTTTCAAATTGTGTCACAGGATCTTTAACGACCAACTGAACAGAAGGGTAAGACCTTGATTAACATCTCATCAGAAGACGACATCTTCCACATTGCACAAAGAGCAAAGCTTCCGCAGCACTGAGTGTCAGCATGGGGTTTGAACCCACAATATTTTGGTCTGGAAGACTGTTCAGAGCAAATGTACTTTGGAAATTGGTTCTATCAGTTGGTGGCAATGAAATGTCCTCCCAATATGGAAAGTTATGCATTAATTGCAAAGAATATTACAATAAAATTTAAAAATTCAGTCTCAATTTGGAAACTGTTTTTCCACAGTCCTTAAAGAGAGCTGGATTTCAAATAATTGGAAAATTGATTTTGCACAGTTCTGTAAGTATGAAATTGTACGGCAAAAAGGTCTTGCAGGCTAAGACTAGGGGAACTTTGGGGCTTTCAGTTTGCTGCCAACCATTTCATTGTTTCAAGAGCGTATGATTGTGCTTATGTGTGATTGTTATGAGAACAGCATATGGTCATATTCTTCTACCTACTTAGTGACGGACAGTTCCGTTTAACGTGAGAAGTATGTTGGTCTTTATCTTGTGCTATTGGCCTACAGGCTGTAGCATTGTCAGCAAGTATGCAAATGCCTTTCGTACATGGATTTGAAATTGACATGACAGCGTATCTGGAAATCTGTTTGAACACTGGGACTAAGTCAATGGAGGCTATAATAAGATTGTATCTAGCCTCCCATGTTCCATGAGTCATGGACTTTGTGTATAATTATTTGTACAAATTCTATCCATTAAAATGACATTTGTAAATTATATAAATGGCATTTAGCCAAAATAGTGAGATGCAAATAGTCAGGTATAAATGCGTAATTGTAATGGGTGACTGGCTTGTATATAGTGAAAGGCCATCCTTTCATTATTGCCACTGTCAATGCAAAATGATGATATAATCTGTTTGAGAGAAACAATTAACTCTGGCTGGCTGGTGGTGGGGGTGTTTGTTAGTTTGTCAGGAGTACCCTGCAAGGTCTATTTCTGAGTAATAATGGTGTGAATCTATTGGTCTACTAATGCGTTTACTCTGAAGTAGTCATTATTTCAGAATAATAACAAAGTCAATTGTGGGACCAAATTTATCATGCAAGTGCTAGAGTAAAGGAGATTTTCAACCTACCTAGCAACCATGCTAATTTGCATTGCATTGCGGACGACAACAATAATTATATCAATCTTTACATTTGATATATCGCTTCTGTCTCCACACTATAGGAAGGATATAATAGTACAGCATAGGTTTACAATGATGATATCAGGGCTGGCAGGTACTGCTATCAGGTTTGACTGGATAGATTAGGTCTTTTTTCTTTGGAGAAGAGACACTTTAAAGGGGTCTAAGTGTTTAAAATTATAAAAAGATTTGATAAGGTTAACATAAACAGGCTGTTTCCACCGATTGGAGAGTCCGTAACCAGGGGACACAAATATGATAGTGACCAGAGGATCTAAAAATGAATTTAGGAGGAACTATTTCACACAGAGGGAAGTGACATTGTGGAACTGGCTGCCTGAAGTGTGGTTGAATCAGATAGAGTTAATGCATTTAAGAGGAAGCTAGACCTGCACATGAGGGTGAGGGGAATAGAAGGGTACAGGAGAGAGTAAGGAATGGGTGAAGACTTGTGTGGAGTATAAACACCGGCATGGACTGGTTGGATTGAATGGCCTGTGCTGTACATTCTTTGTAATATTTCATATCAGGAGGACATCTCAATAAGTTTGACCGGATTTATTGTGTATTTTCACAAATATACAGTCAATTCACTTTACAGTATATTCTGTGAAGCGCTTGAGATGTCTAGAAGACGTGAAAAGTGTTATATCAAATGCAAGGATTATTATTATTATTTTATAGGTGGTGGTAGGGGTTGGGAAATGATTGCAGAATAATAATCAATAGTAACTGTATTTGTAGGCATACTCGGCACTCAATTTGCATATAACAATGTTCATCCTACAAACAGCTATGAAGTGAATGACCATTTTTATGTAGCTGAAGGATTGTTCACCGGGGCAATCTCTCTTCTCTTTTCAAAGAGTACTGTGGGAGCTTTCACATCCAACTAAAGAAGGAGACAGGACCTCAGCTTACTACCATATCTGAAGGACATCACATCTGTCAAAATAGTGCTTCTCCAGCACTAAAGTGTCAGTGTAGATTGTAAGCTCAAAGTCCCAATGTGCGACTTGAACTCACAACCTGCCCCAGTTGTGATGGGGATTTTGTATTTCACAAAGCATTAACTGCTGCAATTTTTATCCAGTACTTTTAGTTTTGATTTCCAGCATCTGAAGGGTGTAAGTCAATTAGAACAGGTCTGAATTTGAGTGTTCATTCTAATATTTGCTTCCTGTGCTTGTAGGGGTAAATTGCAGGGGACAATATTTGCTTCCTTCACTCTGGGATGTTAAAGGCACTAAGTAATTACCGTTCCCACATGAAGGGTGCTATATAAATGCAAGTTGTTGTTTTTATAATGTGGAGGTGGGATGTATGGAATTCTCAGTTTGGTTTGGATACTTTTAAGCATGGTGATGGGTTTCTGCATGTGTCGGACACCTCTGACCAAAAAAAGTTGTGGTTATTTGTCTTAGTGTTTTATTGATGTTTTGCTCAACTTCCAGTCAGATGAAACTAGTGTTACACTGATGCTTCAACACTGACTGATAATCTTGTATGTGTCGTCCTCATGTGCTATAATGGAGTCATCATCCACAGCACAAAATCCATTGCTGCAGCAGAGTTGCTTGCAAGTCATGTCAAGTTATAAACTATTGTTAATTCCCTAACACAACCCAAGCAATGAGGTTTCCTTAATATGGAATGGAATCTTGCAGCTTTATCAGTTTAACAAGAATATTGATCTTTAAATGAAAATGAAATCTTAATGCTCTGATGTAGAGACTGTACATCGAAGGTCCTTCATCCAAACATATTTGTGATCTCGTGAGGAGAACTTACTATTTTTCAGGCTCTATTGAATAGACTGAATCATAAAGGAGAATAAAGGTCATGCCTGGGTGTCATTTACTTTTCATCTGTTGCTAATTCTAATACCCCCAAACATTTAGAACACAGTTCCAACCAAGACAGATAATTTTTTTTCTCAACATGAGGAATCCTGTAGCATATTGATTAGAGCATTCGCCTCTCAAGCGAGAGGACCTGGGTTTGATTGTTGGGCAGGGCAAAACATTGGGCAAGTTTGCTTACTCCACAGGTCTCTGTTTACCTGGGAGTCAATAGGAACAAGATTGTTAGTCGATTGGCGGATCGCTTTTCTGAAGCCAATGATCCCTTCAAAATAAATAAATAGATAATAATAATTTGGTCACTTCAATCCACGACTGTTTGTGGGACACTGCTGTGTGCAATTGGCTGCTGCATTTCGCCCACGAAATATACAGTCAATTCACTTCACAGTATATTCAGTGAAGCGCTTTGAGATGTCTCGAAGACATAAGACACTGTATCAAATGCAAGGATTATTATTTTTTCTTTATACAGATTACCAGGAAGGATGGTTGACTTTAGGACCTTGGACTCATTTGAGGAATGGCTTGCTGCTATAATTTGAAGATGGACAAATTGTTATTAAGGTTAAGATCAAGTGGGATGATTTCAGTGTTGAGATTTGTGCATGAGGTGAGAGTACAAAGCATTGCATTGTTTTCCGATTTTCTTCATGGTAAGTAACTTTTTTTTATTGAAGAGATTAAAAAATATTAAGATCTAAAAACAGCAAATTACAAAAAAAAGACACAATAAGAGAGTGCTTCCACTGCATTAAACTGGGGAAGCAAATAACACATGAGGGCGCAACGGGTCATTAAACCTCACCAACAATGTGAAAGAAAACTATTGAACCAGAAAGCAATAATTCATACAGATAAACATTATCAACCGTCATCAAGCTAATATTATCTGATACTCCATGGCACATAGTGACTGCTAACTGCGGTTGTATATTTTCAAGACAACATGTAAGCAGAGGTGCTCTCTCTGTGTGACCTTACATTTATACTGATACATTACTGTTTTGCACAGAACCACACAGAAGACCAAACCCAAAAAACAACATAGAATTGCCCCAAACGTAATTGTGTTCAATTCAAATATCATACAAGCTTTAGTGAGACATTTACTGCTTGGGTGCCATACACACTGTTCGGGTTCTAATATCTTTCCATGGATTCTCGCTGGGGTTATTCCAGACAGGAATGTAATGGTGCTGTGGGCAAAGGGGGTATTGGTGTTTGAGTTGTGATACAGTAGTGATGAGGTGAAAGTCTCAGGCAATATAAAAGTCTGGAATTGTGTTGGATGAAATTCACGATCTCTCTGGATATGTGATTTGTTTCTTCAGCACCAAATGGAATCTGAGTTATCACTATACTCGAGATATTGACAGTACTTGGCCATAAGGTACATTTATTCCATCTGCTTCACTATGATACCAGAGTCTCTCTACTTGCTTTTTGGCTCTAGTCTTGATGGCTGGACACTGTCATTCTTTGTCCATTTAACAGACAAGAGTCGCATTCTGAATTTAGACCTTCAATCTGCTACTCTCTCAAAGTGTGGCTCTAATTCTCTGAAACGTACACTATCACATTGCTTTAGCGTATGTGTTTAAACCAGTTACTAAAAACAAACAGCTGTCACATATCAACAGGAAGATTCTTATAAATGCTCCTTGCTTTAGAAGCTGAAAAGTGTGCACTTTAATAAATAAAATTCTACAAAACTCCAGCTGTCTCTTCATGTTCAGGATAGTTTGAAGCAGTTCTGAGCTTAATGGTCTATGTACTCAGTAGCAGATTCTTGCGATCCAGGGTCAATAGGTAGAAACTTTCTTCCATTCTCGTGCTGGTGTCCATTCCGAAGAAGAGCCAGGCTACAAAAGAGAGTTTTAAATTGTTAAACAAATAAATACACAACATCCTTTAAAATCATTTCCCTTGGTAAACCCAACACTTATTAACAAGTACTTACAGTTTTAGAATAAAGAAATGCATAATTTTAGGAAATGCATGTAGTCAGTCTATTCTACAACAACAACAAATTGTATTTATATAGCGTCTTTTACATCAAGAGGACATCTCAAGGTGTTGGACAGTGAAGGGTTTGCACACGAGTTGGGGGTTTGAATCAAGAGAGGTGGAGGTCAAAGGCGTGTGGGGTTGGGAAGGTGATTGAAAGCAAAGTTAAAGATGAAGTTCTTGAGGCGGGCCTTGAAGGAAGAAGAGCACTGAAGAGAGCCTGCGAGGTGGAGGGGCTCCAGGATGGAGTTCCAAAGGATGGGGCAGATTGGCTGAAAGCTGACCATTGATGGTGGAGTGGGCAGGGCAAGAGACGTGGAGCAGAGAGAACGGATAGGTTGGTAAAGGTTTAATGGGTCACAAACGTAGGGAGGGGCAAGAATGCAGAGGGCTTTAAAGAGGAGGATCGTGAACTTGATCCTCTGGTGGATGGGGAACCAGTGAAGCCGGGCCAGGGTCGGGATGATCGGGTCGCGGAGCCTAGTGTGGGAGAGGAGACGCCATTATTTTATTCACTCGGTTGTTTAGATCATAACTCAGGATTTTCACAGTGAAATAGAATAATGGCTTATCTGAACTGGCTCACTGTGAAACAGCACTCAAACGCCTGCTCTGGGTTAAAAAAGAATTGTATGGTGAAAAAATAGTTTGGAAAGAGTCTATGGACGAAATCACTGTGTCAAGGGAGGGGGGAGAATGAGAGTGAAGTGTTCACCCCAGACTTATCGTTACTTAAAGGCAGATTTAGATTGCACTTTGCAGCCTGCTGATAATCCAATAAGAAACTAGGGATTAGAAATTCCATTCCACCTGGATCTAGATTTATTTTATGTAGCATTTCAGATTGTCCAGAATTTGAAAATTCTCAAATCAACCTAAATTCCGAAACCGTTTACCTTAAATTTATTTTAAAAAACACAGAAAACCAGCCTCAGAGATATCACTGAATTTACTATTTTAGCAAATTCTGCACGCTCTATGTGCTAAGAAAAGAAATGGGGCTAGCTGGAATTTCTTTCCAGACATTTGTCAAGGAACAGAATGTGAATAGGAATATGACAATTTTCTCCTCTTTATTCCACCTTCTGTATATACCTATTATTTCCAAATCGTTTGGTTTACTTGCACTGAAGAAAAACACAATTAATGGGCAGATGGGTGAAAGAGATAGCCCACTTCTATAGGAAACAACAACAGAAGCAGATGATGTGCCATGTTTGTTCAGCTATTATGTTTGCATTCAACGCATTTCCCCAGGCCGAAACAGCAGAACGTTAAGTAAACTGATCGCTAAGTCCCAAACACTGCACAAGATCATTCATTAACACATATTAACTAGATAGCATTGGGGCTTTTGAATTATGATGACTACTGAATTATGTCCAAGAAGGAATTGGGAACTGCCACACTTTAAAAAGCTCACGGGAGATCAATAAAATATTGTAGTAATAAAAAGAGCAAACGAATGTACCATAAAACATTGAAAACATGGCATATGTTATCAAGTGGTCCATATTATTGATTTGTTCATGGACATTATCTATCACACTCCAAACAGGCTAGGCAGGTGGATGAATTGTATGTACAGGGCTCATTTGGCCGGCAGATTGTAATTAATTCTATTTGCTCTGAAGCTACGAGCTAACATTACTACAACAATTTTGTTGTAATTGTAACAAGAACCCAAGCCCATCATCATCATGATCATTTAAGGAGCAAAGAGCAAACTTGTAACACTATATGCCTCCCGTCACTGAGTTCCTGAAGGGGAAGGAACTTGGTTGTTTAAGGTGAAAAGACATGCTGGAGGGGGAGGGAGGAAGGAATTATGCTGATGTCATGTAGCAGGACTTGGACAGAGCAGTGTCAGAACTCACCTTTCACCTCTGGAACCATAGGGTGGCAATTTGGATCAGTGAAACATCTCTCTCTTTGACCCTGCTTCAAGCCAAATAAAATTGTCTGTTTGTAGGACATTGCTGTATATTTTGTGGGCTGCCGGGTTTCGCCCACAAAATACACAGTCAATCCACTTTACAGTATATCCTTTGAGATATCTCCACAACATGATAAGGTGCTACTATATACCAAATGAAAGGATCATTTAAATACAAGGATTAAATAGCACCTTTCACATTGGGTGAATATCTTAAAGTGCTTCCCAAAGAGTGGTTGGGAGATCAAACTGAGAGGGAACTGGAGGAGGGAAGATGGCTGAATCAAAGAGGTAGGTCTTTAGCTGGGATTTGAACAACAACAACTTGCACTTATAATAGCACCCACCATGCAGGACAGTGTCTCTGAGGGCTTAAATTTGAAAGCAGAGAGTTAAGCGATGAGGCAGTGGGATTTTGGGAGACAGTGGCAGAGGGAGGTGACAAAATAATTTAAGGCTATCCCACAAGGGGGGGTGGAGCATATAGAGGGCATAAAGCAGACTTACCAGGGCTGGATGAAAGGATTTGGGGATGCCAAGCCAGATCATGTTTGGGGTCCTTTTGTACTATGCATGCAACCGGACGGGGGGCTGGGTTGGGGGGTGGGTGCCATGGGCCATTAGTGGTGGCACCTTCCCACGCTCTCTACGCTGTCTTTCACGAGATTGTACAAGGTACAAGTGGCACAGAGAATTATGGGTTGTTGTTGAAGAGAGGTGGAGCGGGAGGTAAAGGCACCAACCATATCTGGGGACCCCTCAGACCTCGGAGCCCTTACCTGTTTTATTGGTTAATCTGGCCCTGAGGCCGGCATTATCTAAAATGCTTGATGAGTTGATTCCCAGGTTTTTTTTGGTCTTTATAGTGTCATTTTGTATTTCCAGAGAGAGGTACTTAAACTAGTGCATGCACTGGAATCTCTTCCCACCCTCAAATGTTACAGTTACACAATGACTTACTGATATGAGATAACTACAGGTGGAGAGCTCCCCTGCAGTTGGCAGCATGGAGCAGTAATAATAATAATAATAATAATAATCCTTGCATTTGATATAGCACTTTTCACATCTTCTCGACATCTGAAAGCACTTCACAGAATAGACTGTAAAGTGAATTGACCGTATATTTGTGGGCAAAATGCAGCAGCCAATTGCACACAGCAGTGTCCCATAAATTCGTGAATTGAGTGACCACATTATTATTATTATTTTTTTCTTAAGGGATTATTATCAGGCGTGTGGAGTAGGGATTTCAAGACTTTACCAGGAATTGAACCCAGGTCTCTCGCTTGCAAAGCGAGTACTCTAACCACTGAGCTACAGGACTTCACAGTACTGCCTCCAGCATTTGGTGCACCTTATAGCTCAACTGGGTCAGGTTCGGGACTGGGATCAGGGCTGGCATTGGGGTCAGGGCTGGGGTCAGGGTTGGGTTCAGGCGAGGCTGAGAACTGGGGGTGGGGTCAGGGCTGGGGCCGGCGCTGAAGCAGGGGAAGCATGAGATTGATGGGAGAAAACTCTTCTCTTTTCTAATATTGTCATGGGATCTTTAACATCTACCTGAAAAACAAGCAGACCTCTTTTAGTATTTCAAAATAAATGAGATGAAGATTCTACTTTGATGTAAATTATGCATTAAAAAATCACCAATTTTACTTGGGGCATTGTTGGCTAGAACACAAGGAGAGAGAAACTCCCTCCACTTTTTGAACAGTGCCATGCGATCTTTAACGTCCACCTGAATGGGCAGACAGGACCTCAGTTTAACATCTCAACTGAACGATGCAACAAATTCCCTTTTTAAATACTCCAATTCATTCTACGCCAACATTCACGCCTGCAAACCTATTGCATATTCCAATAGCTCTCTGAATTCCCTCTGAATCACTCACACATGCACATTGCATGGCTGAGTTACTGAAGGTTGACCCTTCTGCATACCTAGAGATAAGGCAAGGACTTTGAAGGAAAAAGTGACATCTTACCAGAGTTACTTCGTGGGACAGTCTTTCTTTAAGTATATAGCTTTTGGTTTAAGGGCAAATGTTCTAATAATAAATCCAGCTGGAGATGAACGAGGCTCATGAAAAGATCATCAGTAATGGAAAGGGTCAAAGCAGAGAGATCCATCAGAGCAGCATAATGAATTAATAATAACCATATTTCAAAATAACCTTGCCCTCGTTAACTTGAGAGTAACCCTGCATTTTGTTAACCCTGCCTTGTGTTCATTTTTTTTACTTTAACAGGAATCTTACAGCCTTGTTCCGTAATTGCTATAAAGAGATTGATAGCACTGAAGTGGAGTGTCAGTCTAGACCAGGGGGCTCCAAACGGTCAATCACCACTAGGTGGCTTAATAAAAACAAAAAGGAGCAATATTTACTGCAGTTTAAACACTAAAGTTCATATTTTTATTTTGAGATACATGTGTATCTGACTTCATTTTCAGTTGGACTCAATAACATCACAGTTTTATCCCTCCTCCTTCCTTTGATCATGAGTGAGAACTCTATTTATCGGTAATCGAACGATTGGAGACCCCTGAGCAAGATTATGAGCTCAAAGTTCCAACATGAATCCGCAACCTTCAGACCCTGAGGTGAGAATGCTACTGACTGTGTTAAACTGACACCTATGCAGGTGAAATGTGGAGTCTTGTAGCTCAGTGGTTAGAGCACTCACCTCGCAATTGAGAGAACTGGGTTCGATTCCCAGCAGGGCGAAATGTTGGGCAAGTTTCCTTACTCCACAATTCTCTGTTTACCTAGCAGTAAGTAGGAACCTGGTTGTTAGTCAATTGGCAGGTTGCTCTTCAGGGGATAATAATCCCTTCAAAATAAATAAATAATTTGTCACTCAATCCACCACTGTTTTTGGAACACTGCTGTGAGCAATTGGCTGCCACGTTTCGCCCAC